TTTCCCAGTTGCAATTCAGGTATCCTGCTAAGGAACTGGAGTTGTTCCATGGACTGACTGACAGTAGTTTGTGAGCTTTCTGAGGCATCTCTCCGATTTGTATTTGTACAGTGCCTAGGCTAGGGGCTCTTTAGCCTGCAGGAAGGCTCCTACAGGATACTACAACTAAACAAAGAGGAACAGGCCACTTTATCTTTCTGTCATCCCTTTCACTGCTTATACTTTTGGAGTGGGTTCTATATTTTAAGTCATTTGTTTTTGAAGGCAGGAGGGACTCTGTCAACAGAAACCAAGCAAAAAGGAGAAAAATGTCTAGTCTTAACGAAGAGGGCTAGTACTCTGCCAGCAAAATGGGTTTGAAAGGGAACAGATTATCACCCATTAAGAGAATGTTTTAATGCTTTATGTGAAAGGAAAGGAGTAAAATTTTTGTTATGTGCTTCACCCCAGCTGCTATCAAAACACAGAGCAACCTAGGGATGAAAAGACAAGGGATAAAGAGTAAGGAATGAGTATAGGAAGAAAACCTCAGAAACAGAGGCAGGCAGAAGACAGGAAGGATGTGAAAGCAACAAGGGACGGAATAAGGGAGGTCAGGTTTACAAAAGGTGTCTCTGTTTCCAGTGGAGACCTATGTTTTCCGATTTACTTTCTCCCAAAGCCCAAACTAAATATGCAAAACCCCAAAATTTCTCAGGCTATGCAGAAAGGAAAGGCAGAGGATTAATCCCACAGATGGCATATTTGTTTTGTGCAATTTTGTGTTCAGCACCACAAGGATTAGTGCATTAAAAATACATAGACTTGAGAGTGATGGTTTCACAGGAGAGGGAAGTGCCTCAGGGTTTGCTTCCGTTAAGTCAGTGGGAATGTTGCTATTTGCTTCAATGAAAACAGGACCAAGCCCTTATCTGACTGTCTTAAAATGTTACAAAACAGGAGGCTCTAATCAGTAACTGGGGCTCTAATGAGTAACTGAAGCCTCCAGGCTTGTCCTGAAGCTGCTTGTTCACCATGTTCTGTGGAGGACTGAGGGTCTTTATAAGGCCAGAGCAGGGTCTTTGCAAGGTGCATCCTTTTCTGGTGTCACTTCTGGTGCCTGATGATTCACCTCATTTTCTCTTTCCTCTCTTACCTGGGTGTTCTGCTTCTACCTGGCTTCTCAAGCCGATGACACCATTGGGGCTAGATCAATGTCAGACAGACTTCCTAAGAATAGCAAATGAAATACTGAGGACTGTGAAGGTTGATACAAAACACCTGCCCAGCTTCCTTTTACATTTTTGTGTCTGTCTCTAGCTCTGTTTCTTCCTATTAGCACTTATTGTATTCAATTGCATTCACAGTTTTGACTTGTTTCGTGATACTTGGCCGTTACAGTGCTGCACACAGATGCCACAAACCAGTGCCTTCTCCATAAATATATTTCTCTAAATATATTCACTTCAATACATGACCGTTTCATAAGCTTCAGTGCTTGTTTTCAAACCCATCCACCTTCCCCATCTTGCAGTGTACAGCTCCGTGGTCTAACTAAAAAATGCGCATATCCATCTCCTCCTAATAGACATAAACCTGATGCTCTGAACCTCCCCTCCTGCCTCTGATCCTTCTCATGGTTTCTCACCCTTGCTACCCTTCATGCCTTCTTTGCTCTGTGTTGATGAACGTTTGCTCTCAAGGGGAAAGAAGACCTTAGTTACAGATGCATGAAACACCAGGGATGTTCTAAAGAATCAGTGAGCCAAACCTCCATCCCTGTCCAGAGGAAATGGGATGTCATCTCACTTTCTGAAATAAGAAAGGCAGCCTTTTTGAGGCCCTAGATGGACTTGCTGGTGTAGAGGCCTATGACACATTTTGCACTGAATCTTAGGAGTGGAAGATTGCTGAAAAAGCTATTCTAATCCATCATCACCTGCGTTTTCAAGTCTTGTTTTACTGGATGTATAACCCCAAAGGGACAGGATAGCTGTCCCCTACTTATATATCTCCAGAGAAGAATGTGAGAACTCCTTTTGTTGACTAGCCCAAGAGCAGGCTAATAACCTGTCACATAGACATCAATGCAGTGATTGTCTGTATTGCTTGGTGTAGGATCAGTTCTTTCTTGACTGCCAGAGAGAGCATTATTACCTACTATTTAATTACAAGTACAAAGGGCAAAGGAAAGAAAGGGTTAGTGAAATGGCCTATTTTATTTTTCAGTAGCTCTCTTTAAACATCCCTAAGGATTTCTTACCTCCCATTAAAGTTTTAACTGAAAATGCTGATTGTAAGGAATTCAGTAGTGATAGAGGCAGAGAAAAGCAGACTGTTAAATACTTTTGCTGCAGTAAATCTCCAGACACTTGAAAGCTGGGGAGGAGAAAGGGTGTATGAAACAGGGGCTGCATATTTTAGTAGGACGACTGAAAAAATCCTGTATCAGGACTCAGCAAATACAAGATATATAATTTCTAAAGTGTTTTATTGCTCCATTCTTGCTAGTTGTACTTTGTCACTGTTCCTGTCTACATGAAAACAAAAGACTTCCCCAATTCCTGCAGAGCCCTGCTTACTCTGCCCTCATCTTTCCCTCTAAGCATGTTGAATAAACTGCTCAGATGAATAACTAGATATTGCCCTACTCTTTTCTCCCAACCTAGCAGTCTTTTCCTCTCCAGCATTTTTTTCAGTGCTCTTTTTCATTCTCTCTGCTGACTCCATTTGCTTATGAGGATGAGGGGTCCAAAGCCACCTAAAAACCAGATCTGCCCACATTCCTGCATTCAAGGTTGAGTGTTTGCTTTCTTTTTTTTCTTTTAATTGAAAAATGGTATCCACCTAAAAGAAGTAGAAATTAATCTGAGGAGATAGAAGTGAGTCTGCGCAGAGCAAAAGCCCACAAACCTATAACAGTTTTAGGGAGGCTAGGGAAATCTCTGAAATAGAAGTCATAGATGTGGAACAGATATCCCCTTTCCAAAGCATTTGTATGCATGTGGACAGAAGGAGGTGGAGGTCATGGAGGTCTGACCCCAAAGTGACTGAGAGTTTGATAGCCCTTCTTCTCTTAGACAGAAATTGAGATATGTGCTGTGCCTGGTGGTTTGTTTGTGCCCATCACTAAGGCTTCACTCAGTTGGGTGAATGATGCCCTTTCAGAAACTCACAGCTTGTGACTCTGGTGTAGCTGAATGACAGACAGAACCGGGGCAAGCAGAAAGTTGGACACAAAGCAGCAAGTAGAAGAAGGCAAGGGATGAATTAGATTAATAAGATTAAGATCCTTCACTGAATATGCCAGCCATTTGATTTTTCTCAATGCCTGTTAACATACAGAGGAAAGCAGCAGCTACCTGGTTAGCACAGAGCAGGAAAAAAAGAGTAACCCTTTCAGTTTTGCAGAGCACAAATACTATATATTTCCTCTTTCTTTGTCTAAGAGCAGTTGATGTCTGTCTAGCATTTTCCATTAGAGAATCAGAAAGCATTCAGCGAGCTCTTCAGACCAATTACCATGTACAGAAAGTACTTACCTGCTGTTGTTAATGGATTACTTATGTTTGTAATGAGAGTGAAGGGCAATACAATATTACCAAGCCACTACTGTCCACCAACTATGGAAACATGGCAATCTCTGCTATGAAGAAGCCCTTTGCTCCTGACTGAATGTTCCCATTGCAGGGGATGAAAGATTCCACTCTTCACAGCCATGCCACCACCATGGAAGGTAGATACAGGAAGCCTATTTCCCTGCAGGAGCTGGAGATGTAAATGATTTGAATTTGACTGAACAGTAGAGCCAACAGTCCCAATATTGAGAAAACCATCATGGGATTTTAACGATCACAAAGAGACAGAACCTCCATGGTGTACATTAGGTTAAAAAACACCTTCAATATCCATGTTTGAAGAATTTAGTGTGAGCATTCCTATGTTTGATAAGGATTAATCCCCCAACTCAAGAAAATTAAAATGGACTAGAAATGAAAGGTTGTATTCATTTGCACAGTGCCCAACCCTTGTTAATACTGCAACCTGATCTAGAGGCTGGCTTAAGGAGATGCCTGTTTTACTTAGTACACAACCCTAAACCCCTCTCTGGCTTCTAACTCCACTGGAGTGCATGTCAGTGCCATGGAGGCTGTGTTGTAGAGAGAACAGAAATTCAGGACAATGAGGTAATAGTTATTGACTCTGCTAGGTCCCAGAAATAGTTAGATGCATAACAACCTGCTTTCATAACGCATTCAGCATCTTCATTTCCAGGTACCTTTGTAGGGAGATCTGAAGGTGCTTAGAAGCCTGCGATTACAAACCACAGACCACGCATGCAGATGGCAACACTCATCTCAGCCATAGATCATTTTTCAAATGCTGTTTCCCTCGGACCACTCAGGTGCTTCAGGCTTAGTGATGGCAGGCTGACAAGGAGATACTCAGAAGAAAATAAAGTTCAAGCAAGGAAAGCCTAATGGCTGGTGTAACCAGAGAGCTTAGCAAGGCTGCAGAGCAAAGCATCGCTTGGCGGGCACGTGCAAATACCCTGTGTTTGTAACAGCTGCAGTAAGATGGGATTTGCCTGTATCCAGCAACGTGTTTGTGGATATTTCCATGTGAAATGGCCAAGTGACTCCAAGTAATGGACTGAACTATTTCAGTCACATGGTACTGTGTCCTCTTGCTAGATGAGACAGCAATGCTTCCTCACTCAGGAAAAAACTAGGACCTTTCCCTTAGGTGCTTTATGCTCCCGGCCTCTTTATTTCTGTAGGTATCCCATCCTAAACACTCTTCCTCTTCCTGCTCATTGTCTTCATCCCCCACACACCCCCACGCACGTGGCTCTGGATCTCCTCATCATGTTCTTCTCGTTAAAAACCCCATTGTTCATTTGTTTGTTTGTTCTCTCTCTTTCTCTCCTCTTTTTCTCTCTCTTTCCCTCTCGTTTTTTTTTTTTTTTCCTTCTTTCTTTCTTTCTTTCTTTTTTTGTCTCCTCTGTTTTGTGTACCCAGGCAGCCCATTGAGTAACTTCTTTGACGTAATTAAACAACTTTTTTCAGACGAGAAGAACGGGCAGGTGAGCCATCCCCCCGGCACGCCAACCAAGCATAGCGCAAACAGCAAGCGGAGCGATTCCGGTTCTAATGACTATGGGTCTAGAGGAGACAATAAGTACCCTGCTGGCAAAGACAAGGCAAAGATGGTCTCATCAGTCGGCCTACAAGACCAACCTTAAATAAACACATAAAAAATTAAATAACTTAGGAAAAAAAACAAAAACAAAAACAAAACAAAAAGAAAAAAGCAAGAAAGAATGAAAGAATATTCCTTAGCAAGCTAGCCTCTAAACTAGAAGGATGTATATACCTTGCCACAACAGTACAAAACTGTCTATAGACAAATTTTGTATGAAGGAATGACTGTATATATATACATATATATATTTATATATGATATATAATATATATCTCAGAAACAAACACAAAAACAAACGAATGAAAGAATGAAAAGAAAAGAAAGAAAAGAAAAGGTAGCACAGATGACAAACCCAGTTCACCAGATCTTGGGTTGTGGTTTTTTTCGATTGTTTTTTTTTCCTCCCTTTTTTTGAATGTTTTGCTTTTTTTCTCCTTCCTGATTTTTTGGGTTTTTTATTATTTTTTTTCGTTTTCTTTTGTTTTGTTTCTTGTTCTGTTCATGCTCTCTCTGTGTTTCTGACGACACCACTTGTTTCCGCTCTGCTACCAGGAATTATCCCGAAAAGTTAACATGTCAGCCACGGCTTCACCTTCTGTGCTCTGCGGACACTTGTTGACGGAAGGCAACCGATGTAGACTGTCCAAGGACCAGTCCTGTTTGAGGTTCCCAGCCTCCCCTCTCCCTTCAGGAAGTGGGCTTCTCCCCCACTTCTCCCCAAACACCTCCCCAGTGCACGCCTGGTTTTTTTTTCCCCCTCTCTTTTTCTTTTTTGGTGCTCCACGAGAGAGACCTGCTCAGTTGTGGGATTGCAGAGTCTGGGCTCAAAGGAGGTTGCAAATTGCTGGAGTGAAATCTTTACCCTTGGCAACTTCTGTCCGCGCAGGTGAACACAGCCCGGAAAGGGAGGGTGTGGGGAAGGAGACGGGTGTAGTGGGAGCGCAGTGTTCCATGAATCCAGAGCGCGTTCTCATCAGAAACCAGCCAGGAGCAACTCAAAACTAAGCGTTGAACCAAGACAATATTGGGGAGCTTCATCATGGGATTTTCTTACCTTTTTTTTTTCTCCCCACCACCTTTTCCTTTTCTTTTGCCCCCTTTTTTTATATATACATGTATATATGTGTGTATATTTATACATACATACATACATACATATATATATACGAAATAATTGGTTTTTTTATACTGTATCATTTTGTTTTTTAACCTGCTGGAAGGGGAAAGGAGTAAACTTAGGAGGGAGAGGGGGTTCAATGAATAAACAAATACAAACAAAACATTAAAACTTAGGGAAAAGGCAACTTCTGGTAGCAAAGAAGAGGGACAAGACTCTGCCAAGGACTGTCTCTCCCGTCACCAGGCACAGTTGCCGCTGCTGCTACTGCTGCTCCTCCTTCGACACCTTCCTCCCCACCTGTCAACTCCCTGCCACTGTGCCACCTTGCTGGGACCTTCTTCGACCAGCTGGATCCTCCACTACACCCTGCATTTAGAGGCAATTGTTGTGTTGCTAGTGCTGCATTGATATCAGTATTATTATTTCTTTAAGTTACCAGTTTCATTTGTTGGCTTGGGTGATTTTTTTCTTAAAAAAAAAAGGAAAAAAGAAAAAAAAAAGAAAAAAAAAGAAGATGAAGAGGAGGAAGAAAAGAGACTTATATTGGGTTTTCTTTCCTGTGTGTGTGTGTGTGCAAAATCACTGGCACTTAGTTCATCAGAGCAAGACAAGGTGGAGTCAGGGCAATGGGAGACTTAATCACGAAGCTACTGTAAACTTTAAAATTTACTGCAAGATATTTTTATAAAGTTTTTGTTTTGGTTTTAGTTTTTTTGGAAGGGGAGGAGGGTGGGATTGGGTGGATGGGGACCTTTTTTTTTTTGTGTTTCAGTTATTAGGTCTTGGTTATTTATATATACATATATATATATTTAAAAAAATAAGCTGTTAGATATATCTTCTGTTTAATAACTGTGTAGAGGCAACATTGATTCTTATTTATTTTGGGGAGGAGGCGGAAAAAAGACACAGAAACCCTGTAAGTGTTCATTTTGTGACTTTGAGAAAGAAGAATTGCTGCCTTTTTTCCTCCTCCTCAAGATTTATGTGACCAAGTGTAACTTATTCTGGCCCAAGCTCAAAGGTTAAACAAACAAAAAAACGTGGTTTTACGCGTGGAAGACAAAACACAGTGAGAAGTACTTCTTGACTGAGATTTTAAGAATGTAGGCTTAGCATTAGTGTTCAGCTCTTTTATGACCTTCGATTGCTGCTCGTTGGGTTCCTATGGGTGTATGTTGTATCGCAAGATTATTTTTTTTAATGATAATGTTGGATGAGTTCTTTTTTGTTGTTGTTGTCGTTGTTGGTTTTTTTAATCATTTTTCCCCTTCTTGGACCAGTTTTACTTGTACATAGGTTTGAAGATTAAAAAGAATTTTTAAAGACACAACTGGGGCAAAGACCTTTGACTTCTGCCCCGTTTCCCCATTCCCCCAAATGGGAGGGATTTATTTTAATTTTTTTGCTTTATTTATTTATTTATTTTCCCTGTTCTTAAACTTTTCTCTCTCGTATTGCTGTGTGCATGTCAGACACCAGGGGATGATGGCTGGGGAGGGGGGGAGGCAAGGGTGCAGGAGAGGGGGGCAGTTTTAATTGCATGACATTGCTGTAAATTAGTCTCTTTTGCTTTCGTTGTCTTTCCTGCCTCTGCCCTCTCTCTACTTCTCCTCCGAGCTCCCCTCCCATCACCCCCGTCCTTCTTTTCCCTCTTTTCTCTTCCCTTGTGTATAGATTTTGATGCTTCTGTTACATTGTACCTCTACAAAAGGCTGGGATTTCAATACAAGATAATAATAATAATTTAAAAATACCTATATCATCAAAACTCATGTGGTACAAGCAGGAAGGGGATTACTTACACAAGATATAAGAATAAATGAAAGCAATACCTCTTGTTATCCTTCCTATTTTGTACTTTGAAGACACACACGCGCGCACACACACATATACAGACACAAACTGACATTATTTAATGGTTTAAAATGGACAAAAAAATCTGATGTATCCCTTGTTAAATAACTGTGAGCAACTTTAGTTCAAAAACCAATAAATTCATTCAGTAAAGATACGAACTGTTGAGTGTCCAGTTTATGTCCACGAAAACAAACTTCTCGCCAGTGCCAGACCTGGTAAGTACGGTGTCAGGGCTTTCTACACCAAAGGAGCTGAAGATGGCGGCTGAAGTAATGCAGCATCATCCTCCTGGCCACGGAACTAACACTGGCTCCTCGCAGCACCGGGGTCCATAGTGCTGTGCCCAGCGTGCTCCGCCCTCACAGCGCTGACATGCAATGAGCAGGTGAAGAACAAGGACAGCTTAACCCTGTAGGCCTGTTTTTCCACAGTAACGTGTTGAGAAAGATTAATGCAGATTTCAGAGCAATGACACCCCCTAGATCTGGTCTGGATGGAAACCACTGTACCAAAAACTGTTGCTGCTTGTGATTATTCTCATCTCTAACCTGAGCTTCTCACGTTGCTTCCAGATTTAGCAATAGGAAGGATTTCTCCACCCTCCCTGCCTGAAACACTCTCAGTCACATACATTTGAAAAAGCTGATCAGGTACGTCCCTGGCTTGTGTGGGTCTGGGGTTTTGTTGCTGGTTGGTTTGTCAGTCCAGGTGGCTGCTGGCTCATCACACGTCGCTCGGCTTTTGGGTGTTCCTTAATGCTGGATTTGTAACTGCACCTGGCAGTTCGCCTCCTCGGCTCTGACCTGGCTGGTGTGTGCCTGGGAGAAGTGGGTGCTTCCCACATGGCTGGGGAGAGCTTGGTAGGTCCAGGCTCGTGATGGGTCTGCAGCACTGGCCCTGCAGACATCCTGGCCCTGCACTCACCACATCCTGGCCACCTCTGGACGTGTCTGCTCTGGTGGTCCCCAACAGAGCTGCTCTGGCTGAGCCAGACTGAGTCTTCTGTCCGTGGAGGCAATGAGGGGAGGGTGCTGCCCACGAGGGAGGGCAGGCAGGAGGAGGCCTTCTGGAAAGTTCTACGGTGCTGCCCCAGCTGTGGAGGTGCTCCTGCAAGGCAGAGTGAGGGCTGTGAGTGGGTTTGGGAAGCCCCTGAGAGGCAGACCCTGGGCAGCTGCCACCCCTCAGGGCATGGTGTGGTGTCCCTTTGCAGCCCCTGTGACAGCAAGAGGAGTAGTTCACCCCACTTCCTCCCTATGGCTGTGGCCACCGCTAGAGGCTGTAGCTCATCTCTACCAGGTGCAGCTGGAGTTGCTCACCAGGGAGTTGTTTCCCAGGCCTCTCCCACTGGGCAGTCTTGTAATTAGCAGTGTGCAGGGAGGGTGTGTGCACGGGTAGGAGAAGGGTGGGTGCATTAGGGGTGCTGGAGTGCATCACAGTAGCTGTCATCTTCCAGGGGTGTCACGAGGATGGTGGTGACCTGTGACACCTTCCACAGACATGTGCATCAGCTATGAAGCTTTTGAGGCAAGAATGGCAGAGGATGTGCCTCACAAGAACATCCTTGCTGCAGTAAAGACTCAGCTGTGGCAGACTAGCTCCTGTGAGGTTGTGGTTTTGGCAGGCAGTGTCTCTGGGACTTGATATTCGGGCTTGATATTCGTGTTAGCACCTGCTGCAGTGGTAGGGAATGAAGTCTTGCACTGCAGATGGCATCCCCTGTCCATGTAGGAGGGACACAGATGTGCTGGAGGTCCCAAAGGTGTTTGTACTGGAAAGGCAGAGGGGAACAGGAGTGCAATCACTTGAATGTTGTGCATGTATTCATACAAAATACACTCTTACCTCAGAAAAAGCTACAGTGTTTGTAAGGTCTTTGGGGGATTCACTGGTCTGCTAAAACTGAAGGGGAGTGGAGGAGCTGACAAAGATGGAAAGATGAGGAGAATCACAAGTGCTGCAGGATTTGGTCTCTGTAACACTGGAAACCCAGAAGTGGGAACAAGCTGTATCATTTGCATCTCTGAAAGCGAAAGAATGTGCTGGGCTGGAGTGTAATACAGGGGAAATGGGATTTAACGGCAGTGTGGCAGCAGCTGTATGCTGCTTCTTTATTTCACTCTCTGTTCTGTTTTCAGAAATGTTCATAAACTTCTATGATCTTTTCATGTCTCCTGTAGTATTCACAGTTAGCATCCCCAGTATTGCCAATTATGGTCTTCAAAAGCTATAAGAAGAAAATGATTTTGCAATGTGAAAGACCTCATGCTTAGGGCCTGCCCACGTTTATTCTGCCCTCTTGTTTGGCCATGTTACAACACAGACTCTAGCTACATGATGATGTTTTACATCTGTAGTGCATAGGAGGGACTGTGCTTCTGAGTGAATTGAGTTTGTATTTAAACTGTTGTACGTAAAATATCCTTCTTATTATATAGTTTAAATCTGAAGGCAGGTGATAAATGTAGCAGGGGATTTTGGTATGCCTCTGTGACTGAGGTCGTTGGATTATCTCTGCTGCCAGGTGGGGGCTATTGTCTTCATCCAAACCCAACATCCAAACCCAGGTGATGGCTGTTGAGATGCTGTGAGCTGTGACACCTGCCCTTCATTTTGCTGAGATTCTGAACTTTGCAGCTCTCTGGTTCACTTAGAGAGCCCAGCTCCTTGGACTTGGTACTGAAAAAAATTACTAGGTTTAAAATTCATCTGTCTTACTTCTTCTGGGTAAAACAGTGCAGCATATGACCTTCCAGGTGTAAGCTGAAGACAAGGCAAGTGCGTAATACTCTAGTTGGCATTTTCTGTTTGTGTGTGTGCAAATGGCTGTTAACTTTGCATAGATAGGTGCATACATGAGAAATGTGTTTGTGCTTAAGGTGAACAGCTACTAATTGAGCCAGGACTTGAAATGTGCTATATAAGCAATAGATTGTTTGTATGCACCAAATGAGCATATAATCAGCAAAGCTGAGTCCAGAGTCATGAGGATAAATCTCATTGCCACATGCCAGCATACAGTCTGGGAGCTGAGAAAGAAGTTAGTTTTGTTAGAGAGTGCTAATGCAAATTGTCTAAGCCTTGCAAACGATGCATGAAAATTTCCTCAGTGGTGAGGCTGGCTTTAATGAAAGTGATCTGACACAAATGACTGAGCTTTAATAGGTCTCACTAGATATAGGCAAAGAGAGTGTTTGTAAAGACAGCAAAACTGTGTAAGGCTTCTAGGTAGTGCTAATCTTGTGCCTACTGTTACAAGGTATGCCTTCTTTCCTGCTGATTCAGACAGTGCATTTAACCTAACAGGCTTGGATGTTGTCCTAAATACTGCAGCAGAATGCCCACAAGGCATTATGTTCTCTATGGAAGTCTGCAGGACTGGTCCCCCACCTTTTCTTTATTTCAGCTGTATACAACCAATTGTATGTGAGCTCATGATAGAAGAGCAAGAGTGTTTTGGTAAGGAAGAGATTTAGCTCTGAGTTTCTTATTATAGAAAACAACAGGGAGGGAAAAGAGACACTTGTTTAAAAACTGGGAAGTATCTTATTTCTTTGTTGTACCCTTTAATCTTCTTATTTTATTTAAAACCACTTCAACAGCTGCAGCTCCTGCTTAATTTGGAGAACAAAACCCTAGTAGTTCAACTGTCTGGGGATACTTGAGGCCACAAGTAGAAGGGAAACCCACACTGAGGGCAAGTCCTTTCTTCTTCTAAATGCACAACTTATTGTGTGTGTTATTTTTAGTGCAGTAATCTCACTGAGTGCTGCTGAGAGAAACTGTGCCAGACAGGCTTTGAAGGGCTTGAGAAATGGGATTTCCTGTTCCACCGGCTCAGAGCTGACTCTTGCCATTGTCAGGAGCTATTATCGCCTTCTCACAGCCAAAGTAGATAACACAGCTTCAAGGTCAGGAAAGACAAGCTTTCATCAACAGCATTAGCAGAAGGAAGAGTTTGCTTGCAGTCAGGGTGGATGTTTCTAGCTGGTGTAGTCAGGGACCTCTGCCTGGGCAGAGAGGTCTGTGCATGGATCACAGAACCACACAGCAACTGAGGCTGGAAGGGACCTGCTCAAAACAGGCTGTTTGTTGCTCTGTCCAGTTGAGTTCTCAGTGTCTCCAAGGTGGACACTACACAACCTTTCTGTACAACCTGTTCCAGAAACAGTTGCTGGAGAGAGAAGAAGAATTTATTTCTCTGCTCCTCATCTTCTTGCTGACCTGCTCTTTGTTGCACCTTTTGGGCTTCTGTTGAGTGTTCTCTCTTGCGTGAACATACCTGAGTCTTGAGGCAGTACTGGTCCAGCCCTGACAATACAGCAATGTTTCTCTCCATGCTGTCAAGAAGGGAAGGAAAACAGGTTGGTCTAGGGAAGTAGCAAGCCTTGGTATAGGAAACACTTTTAGGTTCTAGGAAGAACTGTTGGAAAAAGCAGCTATGTTTACTGTAAGGTCTCATATACTCTTGAAAAGTGTTCACATTGAGACAGGGGCTTCAAATAGCAGTCTCTGTTCTGGATAGTTCCTCTGTGAGACATTCTTCTTCTTAAAGTAAAATCGGGTTTTAGATTTAATCAGGTTTCCTGATCTAAACTCGTGTGCATAAATGCAGTGTAGGAAGTTGTTTCTCTGTGCCCAAGAGCCTTCAGTTTTAGCAGCGAGTTGCACAACGAGAGCAGAAATGGGCGTGGAGTAGGTAGAGCTTGTGTTTACAGAAGAGTTTAAAAAAAGGCCTTGAGACTAAAGTCTGGTCCCCATCTACTGAGCTTTAGGCTGGTTGTTTGGATATCTCTCTGCAGCAGGGCCTCTATGCAGAGGTGGAACGAGTAGGGTGGTGGGAAGAGGGCTGTGCTGGGACTGCGGTGTCCTGGCTTTGGCTTTTACCAACTGGGTAGCAGTGGGCAGCTCTCCTTTCTTACCATTGCAGAGATAAAGAAACTGTGGAAGGCAGCAGCACCTCCTTTTCAAAGAACTTTGAGGATGACTGTTAAATGTGTGGTATAAGAACTAGATAATTTCCTTAGACTACTCCTGGTTTACTGCAGTTGAGCAGAATCTGGGCACTGAACAGGAAACTCTTTTGTCTGAAACACAACCAGTTTGCTGTGGATCCCTGAAGTTGCTGGCTCCTGATAGAGACTTCTTGATGTGAGC